AGTGAAGATAGACCCCTTGAACTGGTTAGGACAGTGGTGAATTAAACAACGGAAGGGATATGTATATCGGATGTCGCGGGTCTTCTGTAAATGGTCATTTCGTACTGTAGTTGGCTGTAGGCGAAACGGAAGCTTTCCGAGCGGCTGTTACTCGTACAATTACTACAAATGATACGACAACGATATTGTGATGTAGTTGCGATATCGTATCTTAATAATTTAATAAAATTATAACTAGACAATGTCTCTATTATGAGGTGTCTCAAAAAGAATAATAACTATATATTTTAGGATTTTTGTTTGTCTGTATATTTGTTCCGGAATCACGCAAAAACTGCTATAACAGGTTTATGTTTTATTTTGATACGCCATATAGAATTGGTCTATTTATTGGTTTTCCAACTTCTGAAAATTATACGTACTAAAAAAAACGTCAGGATGGTAAGAGAGTCAGTAGTTTTTACTGCCAGCGTATACTGTTAGCGCAGGCGCGGTTACCATTTCATTTTCATTTATATTCCATTTCAAAGCCAGTAGTTTTCTTGTACAACTTAGCATGACAAACAGGCATACGATGTACCTGATGGGAAGCAATAATCGTCATTTGGACATGAACAGTATCGATATCATAGAATACACTGTGATGCCTATGGTAATCTACATGATTTAATGTGATGTAGGTAACACACAACGTGTCCGTATTTGGCTGAGCATATTTTGACTACGAGACGTAGAATTCAAACCATTGTATCTTTAATTTAATAAAAGTTATATTTAATAACGGTTTTCAATATCATCAGAAAATTAGAAGTTTTTGTGAATTGATACACACAAGACCATTCGGGTTTGAAATTCGAAGTTGCAAACTTCTGGGTTTTATTAGTCAAAACAAGACTATGATATGTTCATAATAATGCATATTGTAACATGATTCAATATTCAATACTGTATATCTTCTATTGCAATCAATACTATAATTATATATGCATTGTATCGTTACATCCTCAGATATTACAATACAATGCATTCAGAATATTTCATTCTTTCTTTTTGTTACATAATAATGTGAATGTTTGAACGACTTTCGAACTAAAATAGTGCTTACGTTTAAAATCGAGTTTTACAATAGTGCTTTCCAAGTTTTAATGAGTCGCTGGATTTTAAATTAAAATGAGTCATTAAAGTAAAGAAACTTCATCGTTGTTATGTGATAAAATTGATATTTGGTTACGTTATTGATATTATGGCTAAATATTTAATAAATTAAATTAATTAATTCATCAAAATAGATTTTCTATTTATAAAAATCACTTAAATTAACTTTATTGGAAAGATAAAAATAGTCCAAGAAATATTTCAAATAATTATAGAATTATTTTATTAGGCAAAAATGTAAAGGGCGTTTACGTAATTAAAATTAAATAGGTACATTTGGTGGTCTCAGTATTTAGTAGTATAAATTGTGTAATAAATATTTATTTGAATTCATATTTTTTATTTTATTTTCTATTATACTTCAAATAACGGTAGATATCGATTAAATAAACAAGAAATTGGGATCGCAGATACTATTCTTAATTTAAAATAACAGGATATTTTTTTATTCAGTAAATAGGCAACAAAATTTAACTTTTTTTTTAGAAAATGAGAAGACATATTTTGTATTTCTGATAAAAAAATATGACTAGCTTGATAATAAATTACCTTTTTAGGATAAGTTATTTGTTGTATAATAATATCATAAAAAATATAAATCAACAAAATATAACACAATATATCAGAACGTCGTTTAATCACATCATAAGCAATAGACCAACAAATAATTTAATATAAAATTTGGTATTGGAACTCCATACTTTTCTGTCTAAGATATCGCCAAATTACTAAACGAACGAATTTCGTTTTATTCTTCCATTTTTCGATATTGAAATATATTTATGGTGAAATGGATGAATGCCAAATTAATTTATGAATAGAATTCAAAAAGAAAACAAAACGGAAAAATATTTATTATTCAGCTTTTGGCACTCCGAGTAGTTTCAAAGAAAAAAAAAACGCTGAAAAATATATCTTTAGGAACGGCACCTTTCTATTTGCAAATGTATTTCATTATTCAAATTTGCATCGAGAATTAGCATGAGTCGATAAATAGAACGTATTTTAAATAAAAATAAAAATATTTGAATCCTCTTTAAGTCACTAGATCTAGCTCATTTTTAGACCGGAGAGAAATTGCTGTCGTTTGCTTAAAGTGTTCATATCCATTAAGTTTCCGAGAATACCACTTTAAGCTTTACCGATGTATCGCTAATGGAATTGGTTTCAAAAATTAAAAATATATTTGAACAAAATTTTACATTAATTATCTTTCTAAATTAATGGGCTCCAGCAAAAATGTGCTAACTAAAAAATTTCATTGAGTAAAACAGAATAAAGTGGTGTGTCTATCTATCACAAATTTTAAGTAAATTATAACAAATGTGTTGTAGATGTCTGTAAGATGGAAAATAAGTATATAAGATAAATTCAGCAAGTAACGCCAATAATTATTAAAAGTACAAGTAAAGAGAAGTCGATAAGTAACTGCTTGTCTTGATATGGATATATGATGCGCAGGGATGAAGAGATTGTGGTAATAAAAATATTGAGTATGAACGTTGATATTAACATTCGAAAAATACTTGTACTTTTCCACAAAAAAGGTATAGTAATAAATACTTGACCGACTTCGCCGACATTTTTAAAGGGTAATTTTACACTAGTTCTTTCCTTCACAATCAATTGAAGAATGGCTGAATTGATAGACGATGAATTGTAGATGGTCATATCTATAGATGGAGGTACAAAAAATAGAAGGAATAGAAAGAAATTAATTATAGAGATGAATGGGAAAGACAAACATATACGCCGACCCTAAATAGATATGCTATAAAAAATTAAGATATTTGGCTAAGTGTTTTAAATATCTTTGTAACCTCTGTTTGTGAGAAATGCAATACAATGATTTATACATATGAATGGAATTTATTTAAAACTCTATACATAAAATAAGTCAAATTACCTGATAGTTGAATACGTGTAAAGTCTTATATTTCAAACAATCCGATCTAATCTCGCATGTCGAAAGTTTCGGTTCTCTAGAGTTTACTATTTGATCTGGCACCCAGGTCTAAAGGTAATGGTGAAAGGCTAAAAGTTTTAACATAGTTTCGTCTCACATCTGCGCAATAAAGTAATAAGTATGGATAAGATATTGTGAATTCTCTGTATGTCTGTGATATTTTTATTGACAACTGCATATATTAAAATATGTAATAAGTTGCAAACTATATTAAATATAATACATACAATATAAATACAAAATAATGAATAAATTAATAATTTCATATACATTTTAAAGTGTTATTGAATAAATTTAATTAAATACATACAAGTAATCTTTGCTAATACTTTAAATATACAAAAGTAAGTTTTGTTTGTTTGTTTGTTTGTTACCTTATAGTGCTTTAACCGCTTAATCAATTACTGTAAAATTTGATATATACGTACTATATGGGATGAAGAAAGATATAGGCTAATTTAATCTTAAGTGTCAGTAAACATAACTTGGTTACATAGACAAAGACGCGGATAAAATGTATAATTGTAAATAAAATTAAAAAATACCTACTAAATTGAAATAAAAAAATTAAAGAATTTTCTATATTACGACTTATTTAATTGTAATAGCAGTAGTATTAAATATATTGCTGTTTTATAAAAAATAACGTACATTTTGTAAGAGACTGTAACGCTGCTCCAGTCTTTCAATGTATATCAATCATAATATTTCCAAAATATAATAAATTTGAATTTCTATTATGACAATAAATTTAAAATTTACACTCTTGTATCTTAAAACGTTATATAGTATAACATGGTATTTCGTATTCCACTTTTGGTTACAAAATTAGAGATGTCAATTAAACATTACAATTCGTGTCATTAATATTCTCATCTTTATTTAATTGGCAATTAATTTAAGTGTGTCCTTTAAAGTTTAATGTAAGGAATATTCAGTACTATTAAATATATCATTACGTAAAATTCCGACACGATTGCCAACTGCGTCATTAACTAGCACTTACTATTTTTTAGATAATTACTATATCTTAAGTTTCGAAATAAAAAGGATGTTAATTATTTTTTTATTATTATCAATAAATTATATTATAGTAATATAATTAGTTACTAATTCTTGTATAAAACAAATTATCTATTACTTATTACTTTATATTGTGTAGAAAGTATACTATGTGTCTCCACTCACCACCCATTTTATCCTCAAAATTGCGCAAGAGGCAACTGAGGGAACAAAACTAAATACATATCTTAATATAAAAACTAAAGTACTCAACCGATTTTATTAAACTTTCTATGGAATCAATCTGAAAATTACAAATGACGGAGAGGAAGACGAATGGAGTAACAAATATAAAGACATACAAACGAAATTGCAAACCTCCCCCATTTTTAAAGTCGGTTGAAGAACTATGTATTAATAGGCTTTTAATTTTAATATCCTTCTCTCAGGAGGTCATAACAGTTAGCAAAGTAAATTAGCTCAAGTCAAGCGTATTACTACATTAAGATATAGCTACCTACTTCGTTCTGCCTAGCTCGTTAGGCGCCTAGCGTAAAAATATATATTTTAACTATTACATAAACCATTTTCCGCTGTTGTGTTCGAATACTAAACCGAACGCATCGCTTATTTACCAAAATTAACAGAAGGTCCGATTGCACGCCCTTTCATTTCCAAGCAAGTGGAAACATGTAAACTGGGACCAAACAATTCGGTGACCTGGAAATCTTAGAACAGTTTCGACCCAAAGATTAATTAGTCGGAGCAAACAGCTCGACTCTCGACTAATCTCGAAATCTGTGCATCCAACCGAAATAAATAATTATCTCCGCTTGGTAAATGCAATGTATATTTAATATATTAAAATGTAGTTATAATGAGTGGACTTGCTCAGTCGTCGTATACTGCGCTCATGTGAATGTGGTGCAGGGTATTAAGGATATAATTGCTGTTAGATAACATGGAAGAGGAAAGCAATAATGGCGCTGCTAAACAAAAAGTAAGCTGTTACTTACTGTGTATTATTAATCTTTTTCTGACATGGAATGCTTGGTAACTAATCAAGCGAGGAATTATTAAATATAACATACATTTTCATTGCACACATGTATATAATTATGATAATATATATTATATGTGTATAAGTATAAACATGCTGTTCAAAAGAATCGTTTAGAAAAAGTAAATAGATCTTTTTGAGAATGGGGATTAAAATTTATAATAAAATATTAAAATATGCATTGGATCTACCTTTTATTACATTTAAAAGTTTTATTAAGAATTATTTAACTAATAAGGCCTATTATATACTAAACGATTACTTACAAGAGAAATGTACTTGGCTTTAAATAATAATACATGGGATATTTAAACTATTATCTATATTATGAGTTAGGTCTGACATATATTTAAATATATTTTAACATACAATCTAATATAACATTTACAATAATGTACTTAATTTATGTAATTATTTAAGTAACTTTTGTTTTTGTCTGTATTGACACAAAATAATTTTGAAAACAACTTTTGTTGAAATAAAATCAACAGTAAAATTTCTTGTCTGTTCTTTTCAGCTATAATTGCATTCCGAATGAGTGGTAGAACCATAAAAAAGGAATGTACTCGTAAATTATTATTTTCTATAAGTAAAATTTGCACTGAATAATTCATATTATTCAAATTTAACAAAATATAAAAGTATAATATTCTAATTATTTATAAAATAAAAAAAAATATTTTTCACTCAAATTATTTTACGGTTTTATAATATAGTTTGAAATACGTTACTTCAAGCACCGAAACTAATAAGTACGTATATTTTTTTTATTTTACCCTATGAGAGAATCCGTTTTATGACATCGTTTTAATGTCTCGAAACAGAAGTAAAGGACTATAAAATCTTTCGGTAATTAAACCGTGAGAGAGATTCCTGGAAGCAATTTCACTTTTCATTTTCCGTGAATTGCTAAAACTTAAAGTCTCCATTAACATCTATATTGTCAATAAACTAATTTGAAAAAGAACGTAAAAGTTGTGAAGAACAGACATGTTTTTTTATAAAATCATTGTCATAAAGAAAGACACAGTCAACACCTCAACTTATATGAAAACTGTGTCACTACTAAATTGCTTACCTTGATCTTAAATTATTTATTAAAAAAAAAAACTTCTTTCTATACTAAAGCCTATTACAAATGACATCTTTATTTTATCATTTCTAGATTATAGTCGACATAAATTTTATCTGAAATAATATTATAAAGAATTTTTTTTTTATATTTTTAAAGGATAAACTCAAAACTACTCAAGTAGATTAAAAAATTCTTTTACTTATAGAACGGCTACATTGTGACATGGCCTGCATTTTACTAAAAAAAAAACCATGCGAAACTGGAGCAGTTCTTTTGATCTGAAAACTAAACTACAGAACCGATTTTGATAATATTTCTATAAAGTTAATCTATAAATATATCCTTTCAGATAAAAAAATCCAAATCCGTTTAGAATTGATACAATTATAAAACAAACATAATAAACGGGAACAAACATAATAAAATACGATCGAAATTGAGAAACTATTTTTTTTAAGTCTGATGATAAATGCAGTTATGGTATCTTTTTAGATCTCGTATTTGTGTTATTAGAGAGACTAAGAGGAATTATAAATATATTACTTAACTTATTATAATTGAAAAATCGTATGATTACAGATCTGTTGCCTACTCAGACAAGGGCTTCTTTTGATAGCATATTGCCTTATATTTATTTTGCTGGATACAAATTAAATATAAATTAATTAATTAAAATTATTATTTGTTATTATTAAAAAGAAAAATATTAAATAATTTTTGTTATAGACAATAAATATGAGAATTCTTTTATCAGAGCAAGTCAAAAGGAGAACGACGTCGCAGTAAACCTGAGCTGGATTCAGCTCGTGATGAAATAAAGCAGTTCAAAGAAAATTTACTCCAGTCCATCGCTACAGGAGAGTGAGTATTATGAAAGTGAATGTATTTAATAACATATATTCTCGTCAAGCATTCATTTTAAATATTCTTTAGACTTTAGTAGTAATCTAAAGATTATTAATTCAAAAATAAAATAAAACATACCAGACCAGACTTTATAAAGGTGGATTAAATTCACTATTATTTGATTTTAGAACGCGAGATTGTGTACTAGCGAAGTAAAAAAAAACACTATTTTGCTCCGTAAGGAAAACAATAACTTCAAATCGTCACAATATTTTAAAGAAACCGACAATCTGATGGGTTTACTCCCTGTAAAATCCGGTAAAATATATTTATAATTAAAGTAATAATTGTCTAACGTACACAAAAATATACAGACAAAAGTTCTAAAGTTTCCAATATTTTAAATAAAATTTTATTGTTAAACAGGTAGTGAATTGTAGGTGTATTTTAATTATTTTAAAAGAAGAACAGTAATATTACTCAGCAATTTTAATTTTGTCACGAGAGAAGATGATTCTTTATCATTGTTTGTTTTATTTTACTGGCCAAAAATAAATAATAATGATAATATTTGAATAAATGTATAAATTATACTAGATTTTTTTTTAAATGGATATACTACCGTTACTATAAATAACAGAACAGAATAAATATAACAGACCTACGCTTAGTCAATTATTTTTTGTACTGGTAATAGTAATTTAAAGAATAATGAAAAGACGACATTCTCATTATTATTCCGCATGAGATGTACCCATTACGTTTCAGAACTTTGGAACGATAAAAGAAAGAATTGACAGGTTGACACAACATCTCGTAAGACAATGCGAGAATTTCAGTTGCAAAGATCCATAAGGCGATCTTACTGTATAATGCAGAGAATGATAAAGATTGACAAAATATAAAAGGCAGTTGCAAATATTTAGAAAGCAGTCTTAGTGTAAAATATGGAGAATGAGAGAGACTTATATCTTTGTCGTTCTTCCAGAAGATTCTATGTAACATTGTCCGATTAATAGAATATGTACAAGATACTGCAAGAATTTCTGTAGTAAATATGTATAATACAGCCTTACTGTACAATGCAGAGAGTGATGAAGATTGGCGAATTAATGCAGTCACTTCTTTCAGAAGATTCTGTGTAGCTTTGACAGTTTGATAGAACCGATAACGATACATACATAGACTAGACAAATAAATAGACTCTGCGAAAATTTAAAAAACAGTCTTAAGAATGCGGAAGAATGTTAAAGACAGGCATAATTTGTCTATCTATCGTTTTTACTAACATTATAATTATAGATTTGTGTACCAATTTTGAAAATGAGTTCTAAATTAGTTTTTAATTAATATAGAAATACAATGTAAACAAGAACCTTTTATTAATGACAATTTAAAACCTAAAAATATCTCAGAATACGAATCATAAAAATCATTCACTGGCCAAATCGTCTTTGAATTCGCAACCTCATAGATTTCTTAATAAATAATTAAGTTATGACGCCCCCTTAAATTAATACACTTCTTCTATAACTTGTAATAAACATAAAAGTCTTCCACAGCTGTAAACCCTTCGCCCTTATTCATAATTTTTAATTTCCGTTCTGGCAACGCGCTCACGAAAATGTTTCGGTACTGCAAAATGTTTTATCGAAAGCTGATTGAAAAGACGTGACACTGAAAATTAAAGCTGTTGAGTTAAAGAGTTCGTATTTTATTATTTATATATTAAATGGAGGAAATGTCTTTATTTAATTAATGAAATGCTAAAGAAATATTTGGTATTATTTTAGGGCGCGTTCTTAAAATGTTATAATATAAATACGAATATTTACATTATAGCATTTGAATTTTGTCTCTATTTCGGATTGCTTGTAGATTAAACTATATATTTATAGAAAATGACTATAATAAAAAAATATTATACAACATTATATATAAAATAATTCGTTCTTGAAAGGTTAATTTTTAAGAAAATATTTGAAAACGAAAGATACAATTACTTAATTGTTATTTAGTTATTTTGGATGTAATCATGAATAATACATATTTATAATGACTGTATCATTTATGATTATATATAAATTTATAGCAATAATAATTAAAATAATATACCTTTCATAATTTTATTGTATGTTTTAAGATGTTAAATAGTTATTTTATTTTATTTACAGAAGTTGTAAATGCAAAGTATTCTGTAAACGTTATAGTTAGAAGAAATCCGAAACTTTTATACTATTCAACAATTCTGTTTTTCTCAGTGGTTCTTCCATAATATCTGAAAGTGGCGGAGAAATAACAATTCCTCAACAACCGAGATCTCGCTCGGCGTCCAAGGCGAGAGAAGCACTTCATATACCAGATAATGTTTTGGCCGAGCTCGACGAAACAAAAATATTTGAACTAAAGGAGGTACGCTTTCCTGTTTTTACATGTTAAGTAAAATTTTTATTTAGAATTAAATTATATTTAAAATGAATTTATTTTTCATACTGTATTTTAATAATTGAACAGTTATTGGGTACACACAAAACCTATTTTTTTCTTTAGAAAATCGTGAATAACTGTTATGAATCAAAATTAAAGTAACAGATACATAACATAATAATATTGCAAAAAGTTACAAGTCCGTTGATAAATAATATGGATAAATATTGGAATGTTTTATACTATACTATACTAGTATTTTATATAATTTTTTTTCATTACAGGCGTTCTTGTTATTCGATATGGACGGTGACGGTTACATAGATTTCAGCGACTTACGAGCGACATTAGTGAGCCTTGGAGAAAAGATCGATGAACAAGTAGTAAGAAACATGCTTTCCGAGGTAAAATTTACAACATTTAACTTAAATAATTTATGTTTTGAGTAAGATAGAATAACTTTTTCAGTTCAATTTTGGATTGGAAGAATTTGCCAGAGTGAGCACTATTTGTTGTGACAATTACTGTAAAAGTAGAAAGAGAAAACAGTAATGAATTTACGTTCTATTAATATTGTGAATATTTGGATGTTATACTCAAAGTTTGTGAAGATATTTGGATGTTATACTCAATCTCGCTTAATTGGTTGTACAGATTTCAATAAAATTTAACTAATACATAATGATAATGAATAGATACACATAGGAGATATTTAAAATAAATTGATATGAAGGGATTTAACAAGAGCAATGTTTGATTTTTATTAATATAATAAATGCGAAATTTATAACGATAGACAGAGAGATGCATTAAGCTTTATTATTCTTTTACTGAATGAATTAAATAAAATTTGGTACACCTTTAAATTATATCTTAACACATAGAGTTGTTTATGTACTCATCAACGGTGACGAAGCAACGGGATACAGCTAATCTAGATATTTTTATCCTAAACTACACGCGTACAATGTCGCGATCACAAAATATTAAAGTAACTATTTTAAAAAAAAAAAAAAAAAACTATTTCCATAATATAAAACCAAATATACTATCTAGGTTTAGTTACATACGTTCGATTGTCTAGAAAGTGGGTGACAACTTCAATATCACGTAACAGTTATTTAAAACTCGTTTTGTATAGGCAACGCTTCGATAGTTTTCAATATAAACCCCGGTTTTACGGTATCTGGGTTGTACTTGCATGAAATAGTCATACATATATTGTAATGTATGTATACTTCGTAAGTTTTAGGGAGACAGTATTGTTAATAAATAATAACGTGCAGGTATTTATTGTTTACCTAAGTTAGACGCAGAGCGCTATATTTTTGATACAAGAATGTTTTTTTTTTAATAACATAGAATACTTTTAAATATCATGTAATTGCCGTAACACTTTGCTAACCGGTGACGAGTTAACTCGTCATTGTACTAGCGTGTAAGTACGTCCTTCTAGTAAGACGGCCAAGAGCGTTTGGATTACAAAGCGTTCATAAGCAAAAAATTACTTTTCTTTATATTAAGGTTTCTATCACAATTTTAGTTTAATTCCAAAGATTTCAACTTTGACGGAATTCCCAGTCAATAAAGTACTAACAGAGTAGTATTCTACGTTAATTTGAACAGCAACGGTCGTGAGTTTGAAGTTTGATTAAAAAAAATTACACACACCTATAATAAATCAAATTAATCTAAGTAATGGCGATAGGCCCGCCTCTGAGTGCGTTGGGTTTTAATGTGATCGAGGAAATCTGTGTATATTGAATACTACGTTTACCATAACGTTAACGGTCGACAAATACCTCCGACTTCCCCATTGAGTACTTATTATAGTATATATAAGTATATAGTAGTAAGTACTTATATAGATTCTAACTGAACCGACAAACTCTCTACCGCTAGATATTAAGTTTATTAAGGAAATAATACTGTCTTATCTTTTAAGTTAGAGAAAACAATGCACATTTATAAAGTTTTATTAAAATTGAGCGGTTTCAGAGATTAGCATAACGGAGATCGTGTCCCTTAATTTTTATATATTCAAATAAATAAATATAATTAATATAAGCAACATCACGAGGTTAGTACATAACTACTTTTTTGACACAAAAGTAATTAACCTTGTAGTCTTCAGAACTGGCAACATATGAGGAGTGACATTGGCAGCATGGTATATTTTGTGACATCCATGGTGTTCCTATATATAATGTATATACAACTGTCATAATTTAATACATAGGACGTCAGCTTGATGGCCATTTACGTAAGAGGAAACAATAGAACTGTCAACCTTTATTGATTTCCTTGCCCATTAGCTACAAAACAATAAATAATATTCAGATATTTCGATTACAAATTAAATAATTTATTATTAAAAAAAAAAAACAGGTTTGATACGTATGATATAATAAAATATAGTGACGTGTAATTATAAATATTTTACTGAATTAGATGTTATTTTGCAGGAGGCTATATCGCTGGTTATTTAATTAGAATTATTATATTTAAATGTGCTACCATTATAACGTGTTTCCAGTTTGGGTGCTGAAGGGTTAACACTAGGCTCCGAGCAACGATCTATTAATTTGGCTGAAGATACCTCGTTTAGAGGTGAAACACGTGTCTCAAAACATGCGTGGGCGAAATGAAAATCGGTGTTTAATGACTGGCCGTGTAGTTCTGGCATAGAATAGGCTACCCCTTCCTTCCCGTGGGTGTCGTAAAAGTCGACTAAGGGAGAGCGAGGGATAGGCAGCAGCGTCCCTTTTAAAACATCTTAAAACCTGAGTGCGGTTACCAATCCACCTGCCGAACATGGCAACTACTGACAACCCCCCCCCCCCAGGGGGCGACTTACGCTCGATAGTGAACAGTTAAAGGCTGATATGATGATTAATGATTAATATGGACGATTGTAATAATAATTGTAGTCAATCATTGTGTTGGCAGTCGCACACATACTAATAATAGCGAAATGGAACAAAATAATTCTTATCAAATAACCAGTGTATTTAAAAAACTTTTAACAATTAAACTCAACACAATATATTGTTATAGAATTCTATAGAGAGAAATCGTGGCCGAGCAATTTAATTCATTCACATTTACAAAACAAAGCAAGCTCGAAACAGACTGAAACTTTGCTTTTCTTTTAATTCCTCTTAAGTATTGTTAGTAAAGTTAGAAGTTATAAGGGAACCTGTCGAAAGAGCTCTCTAAGCCCATGTCAATCCACCGCCACGCGCTTGTGACGAAGGGAACAGAAAATGTCCTTACATTCTTATAGGGAATCTAATTTTCTTCTATCGACTAGGGTAAGTTTTATCTACATTGAAAAGAATGACCTTGCTATTTTCTGTAATGGTAGTACGAGGTTTTTTTTTATTATTCTTACGCCCTTTTTACACATACTCGTGGTTAATGTCCTTTTTTCTTTTTATTAGTAGGTTTAGCTTAAGTTTTTTTAATAATTTATGTATATATACTCATTTACAATACTTTAATATATATTAGTATTTTTATGGCTTGTCAAAAAATATTAAAAACATTCGTTTTGATTGGAAAACTCATAACACGAATGTACTTGAATTATAAATAAAGTAAAAAAAATATATACTTTTATACTTCTATATTACTATAATAAATTTTAATTTTTAAAACTTTTAGTGGCTTTAAAAGTATATACGATGTACGAAGATTAAATGTTATTTATTTTACAATTTGAAATTGACTACGCTTGGACTAAACGTAAAGTTTTTATAAAATATAAAAATAACTATTATATTAGAAAATTTTCGAGTAAACTTATCATCGTCATCTATGTGATTTTTTCAATAATTCTAAATCAATTTTGTTAATTTTTGTCGAAAGAATTTATTCCCGTATTTTTTTTACTGATTAGTATTTTTAGCCCATATTTTTGTTAGTACCTATAAAAATATGCCAAATGAATGGTATCTATATATTTTTATCTATATTAAAAAATATATATGCAATTATACTCACGTCTCTTGCTTTTATGATGAACATAAAACCAACATGCTCATATTTCATCGAGTATATTTGAATCTAACGTCGCAGATTACTTTTGTTTTCAAACGACTTCAAAAAGACATTCTCAATTCAGTTGTATTTTTGTATCAAACATCATAATAAATACTCTCATAACTCCGTCAGTTGTAAACTGATTTGAAGAATTCTTTTTTGTTTGAAATATTAATAATTATATAATATATAAATATATATGGTATTACAGATTCGTTCCATTAAAATTTAATCAAAATTAACTCAGTAGTTTAATTTTTAAATAAAATAACTGGTTTTGCTACTACTGGTGCCGGTATTTTATTTGTGGTATTCGACTACTAGAGTACGACTACTAAAACAAACTATTTTGTTTCGGTCAGATTTGAACCCATGACTTCTAAGTTTAATAAGTATCTTTAGTAACCACTGGGCCACGAAGTTCTGCTCTGCCTTCATTGTTCATAAATAATAATATAATATATAAGCACATCCATTGCCTGGAGCCCGAGTTAAAAAAATAATATTTTTTCCGGCGCCTTATTGTTTCGCCGCCGGTTTAATTTACCTTCATGTAGTACAATTTATGAGTTACGTAAACTGCGTATATCGCCAAAATTTGTTCTAGAACTTGTTATGAATATTTGTTACAATATTTTTTTCTTGTACGAAAAAAGAACTTTATTTTGACTTGTTAAGTAAGAGAAAACGCTCATCAAAATCTATTATTTTGATAAATAATGAATGCATTGAATTGCTAAAAAGCAATTATACTCTAAAAATTCATTGTAAAATATGGTCAAAGAGATAGAGAGAGAGAGTACTTGGAAAATAGGATCTTTTAACAAACTAAACAGATACTAAGTAATCACTATAACAGCAATAATTGAATATTTTATATATCTAATTAATAACCATGTACGGACTGTTAAAATAAAGCATTTTAACATAAGTATATTCTAACACAGAGATACATACAAACACACATACTTTTTTAAATTATATGTGTGTAATAGACAATAATTCCTCTATTTATAAAATTAATAATCAATTGTTAAAACCACGTCATGACGGCTTATCTTTCATATTTTATTACCTGAAATAGGTCAGAAGCGAGCGTACCGCACGAAAGCTCATTTTATAATGCAAGTACCAAAATTAAATTTACCGACGCTAATTAAAATATATTCCTTAAGGCATGGAATATGAAAGTGCATTTCATCTATTATCAAGTCTCATATAGTAAGTTATTTATATATGGGATATAATATAATAAATATATAGGATTCTAAAAAAATCAGTCCCTCCGCAAGAAAAAGCAGCTCCTAGCTGCTCTAAAATCAAATGAGTTTTATATCTAGTACACAATACCAAGCTGTGTGTCTATACCGAATCACAAAAAATAATATAATTTGCGATTGTTAACATTCAATTTTGGTACTAAATATTGAAATAAAATCTTTTTTTCATGTAGGCATCGAACCCACTGGACTTTGATGCATTCGTCAACCTCCTAGGATATAAAACTTTGGAGCTTGACTCAGAAGAAACTTTGGTTGCAGCTTTATCTCGCTGGGACCAAGATAATACCGGATATATACCTGAAGAAAGGTAATTTTTTTCTATTTTTTCTTATAGACTTAAGTAAAATCTGTACTACATCAAGTTGAGATTTATGTATAATATGGGTCTATATAAGTAATAAATATAATTTTCTAATTTTAGATAACTTCAGACATCTATTATTTATTTATTTAAGGCGAAAGCAATTCGCAAGTAAACGATCATTCATTGGTTCTAGACGGGAGTTTGTCTTCTTGCCACTTTATTGATTTACCACAATTGCTCACTTTACCATCTCAACTTTATCAACATTTCTATCCGAAATTTATTTTGGAGTGATGAAAACAGTAATAAATCCTTATTATTATAAATTTGATAGCTTTAATATAATTTAATTTCTCAATTATTAAAATTGGGTCATCATTGTTAATCATTATAAATTTCACCCCATTCATCAATGAGAAGAAATTTATAATGATCATTGATAAAACTCTAACGTTTGTCCATAAAAGGTCGCCTTCTTCTTCTTCAACTTCAGACCTTTTAAGCGACTTCAAAGTGAGGCACGCTCTCAATTCGCCAATATATTTTTAATAAAATAATACTTCTTAAATGCCTCTTATGACATTTTGTAATGGAATGGCATTCTTACTTCATTACATGTGGTGAAAATATACTAATAGTGATTCGCAGTCATGTAATTACGAGGCACTATATTAATACATTTTAGTACTTCTAAACAAGTTTTTACTTTTGTTGTTAATAAACTCGGGAGTAAAAGTTATTAAGTGAACATAATTAATACCAGTAAGTTATTATTGGAACAATATTGTGTCTTCTAGCTAGCGTACATATGCTTCAGTTTAAAAGCAAATCAAATATTTGTATCAAGATTAATCAAAAACTTTACAGACATATAAAATATAATTATATTATAGTTAATATTGAAAACAAATTAATTTACTTGTGTAAAGTTGAACAACGCCACACGAGCGAATCCAATCCATGTTCTCTAATACAAAAGCAAATTAAATAAAATACTGTAAATATTTTATTTAACTCGCTTTCCTATCCGTCTCTTTATTACCTTGTCTTTGACAATAACGAGTCTAAATGACAAGAATTTTTGGTAGCATATTAAATTTAAAAATATTTAAATTTAGATCATGGAATTGTGTCTAAAAACAAATTGTTATCCACAACAAGCTAGATGTTGCTTTGCAAAGAAAAAGAAAGATTATAAAAGAAAATGGCAACTACTGGCAAACCTCCCCCTTATGACGGAGGCTATGCTAAGCAGTGGACAGTTAACAGTTGATATGATATTATCCTCATCTGGCGCTGAGTTTAGATATAATTGTTATTAACATCTTGACATCTTGCAAGTAATAAGGAATAAGATCCGCAAACTAGGTACGAGAACTTATCTAATCTCTGCGGTATTGAGGCGTGTTTAGGAAGTTGAACGCGAATTATTAAAGGAGACGAGCACATTTTGCGATAAACAAAGTATCTTTTATTCAATAACTCAAGAAGCTTCTACAATATTGATCTTATTAGGTTTTACCCACGACTTCATCCGTTTGACTTAACACATGGTGATGAACCAAGATAAGTAGTAATCCATGGCCTTATCTACTTTAAATATTTAAATACTTTGAGATTTTCCCAAGAGACTACAGCATGGGGTTCTTCAAAAGGGGGGTAAAGAGTTTTCTTCAGGGTCGGCAACGCACGCGTAATACCTCTGGTATTGCAGGTGTTCATAGGCTACGGTAACCACTTACCATCAGGTGGGCCGTATGCTTGTTTGCCACCTCAGTGGTATAAAAAAAAATAGTACTTTTAGTCTCTTTCTCCTATTAGTAAGAGCACAAAGATGGTATTTCTCATTCTTCTACTGGTAGAAGTTTGATATTATTCTTCGTTTGAAACACTAAGCACTCAGAGTTTTTTAAGGTCAGATTGACTTTATCTTTAAAATGACTGTGAAACTCGACTTTGTTTGTTGGATACGTTGACATCCAGGATTTTAGTACTTTTAGAGGTAATAATGAATATTTCCTAAAATTGAAGAGCTACTAAATAAATTTATATTATTAAATAATTTATTCTAGCTTGATTATACTTATATACTTCTGTAAATATTTTCAAATAAAAACAATTTCAAAATAGCATTGAACTCATCGCAATTTTATTTCCAGAAATTGAATACCACTTTTCCGTCCTAAGTTTATATATAGAATCTGAAGTGGCAATCCTATAAGTTCTATAATAACAAAGTTTTGCTATCATACCCGCACAGTCAGTCTCGAGAGGGAATGCGAATCCAAACTGAATGACAAGCGTCTAGATCGCATAATAATAGCAATACGATCTCTAAACGCAAAACAAACCCTCTTATGCATAATCTATGCAAATATTTAGACTTAGTTACTGAGCTTGTGACTTAGGTATTTCAAGTGACTAGAAATTTATATATTCCCTCATATTACATTTATTAATGACTAGCGATCCGCCCCGGCTTTGAACATAAATATGATATATTTCGGATAGAAATATAAATTTGTTTTTTTTTATTTGATTTAAAAGGCAAATTTTTGGTACTTTAGATTTCATTGTTGTGATTTTTTTGGTGTGTTGTAATCTGTAATTTATTAAAAAATAATAATTAGCCTATGTAACTCGCTGATAATGTAGCTTTCTATACGTGAAATGCTTTTAAAATAGGTTGAGTAGTTTTTGAGTTTATCTATTACAAACAAACAATGAAATCTTTTCTCTTTACATGCTGAATATATATCCTCGGCTTTGCTTTCTTGATTTCGACCTACTTTATTTCGTGCGTATATGTATCATGTATATATACGAACATTTTCGCTTTGTTAATTTTAGATTTTGCTTTATAAAAAAGCAACTTGAGACTTTAGTTGTATATACATAAACATACATACTGATGAACAACGAAGTATTTAGTAGACTGAAAATATTTGAATTTAGAATGCAGAATCGTGCTTTTATCTATACACTTTTCTTAACAGTAAATATGTAGTAATTTGCTTCGCAAAAACAATGTAATAGGATTGTTGACATAATCGCATACATAACATAATTGGGTCTTTTGGATGTTTTAAAAATCATAAGAAATCTAAAATTGCATACGTTCCAATCTTAGATTATATAGATAGAGCATCGATTCTCAAAAACAGGTTACCTTTTAGTCAGCTAATTGTTAAACTGCCTTGGTTTTTTTATTATTATTCTATATACTTACGCATAAAATATATCTTGACGTATTATTTAATAAATAAAATAAATGTTTACGCATTAAAAAGATGCAGATAATATCTATCATGAGATCACTCATAACTATTATATTTCATACACACAAAATTATATGAAAAAGTTGACAAGTTTTTTTCCAATGTTTTCTTCAATTTTCATGTTTACAATAAAACTAGAGATAGATGTTGTCTATAGACTTTAGAATATCTACGTATATGCACATCCAATACCAATATCCAGTGTTATTGATGGATACAGATGACCGTTAGTACTGTTTCGTCACATCGAGCAACCAACTTTGTGCGAGCAAATATTTGTTTTATTTACTCGTAAAAAAAACTCGATGTTATACGAGAAAAATAATATTTCTCATCAGTCTGTGACAAAATATATACGAAGTACCCAACATTTACAAATAACAGGAACAAAACATTTATTAAGGAAAATGTCTTAAAACATTTTATAATAATTCGTAAATAAACATCAGACGAGTTCAATTACAGTACTTCGGGTTGATTCTTAAGGATTGTACATAAATAATTAATGGTTACGACCCCTAGTGACAGCTATTAGAATACTGAAATAAATTATAAAATGTTATTATTATTATTATTTTCAAATAATATGGATATATATACTTATATCATCATCATATCAGCCTTTAACTGTCCACTGCTAAACATAAGCCTCCCCGGCCTGGGGGTATTGCCAGTAGTTGCCATGCTTGACAGGCGGATTGGCAACCGTGGTTAGGCTTTAGAGATGTGTTAAGAGGGACAAGGAAAAGGAAGTGGTGCCCTATTCTATGCTGGGACTACATTGCCACTTAAATTACACACACATACACTACACAATATACACAATACACATTACACAATGTACTTATATATTGTGCTTATATTATCTTTATAATATTATAAATGTGAATGTGACGAAAAAAAAAATAAAAATATTTATTTAAATAATTAAATAAATATTTTTATCTTATGTATCAGTAGTCACAAAGAAGTACTCAAAATCTCAAAATTTACCTACTAGTCCATGTAGAATATATAAGGATTGTATTGGTACATAATAAAACGGACTTTTATTCATTTTTACACTACGTAATTTTCTAGTTATGAAAAAAAACATCACTTCTCTTATCTCCGAAGTTTCTGAAGCGAAAAATCTAAAATAATTATCTCTTATAAGAGTAGGTATATATGAATATTACAAGAAAATTATCAGTCTTCAAAAACAATCATAATTGTGCAGTCTAGTTTTAAACTACATTTATGGATCAAAATAAGAAATTACGAATTGTGGTATTCATAATAATAACTGTTAATTGTCTATTTCGTATGAGAAATGCAATAAAGGTCATTTTGTGTCATATATATTTATGTACGGAATCCTCGACGTATGAGTTTAACCCGCACTTATTTATTTCGTTTATGTTCGACTAATGTTTCTTTAGGTAAAAATGCTCAGTTTCATTGTGAAAATAATCCTTTAAAAGCGATTTCGATATCATGAATAGTAGAATTTGTTGATGTCTTTCGAACGTGACCGATCAAAAACATTTTATTTATTCATAATAAAAAATGTACACTGATTTCGTGTCAAAGCACTTATTTAAATATTTGACGATGCGATATAAAGAATTATTTATACGTGTACAGTAAAGCTGGATTCAGGTTTATTAAAATTCTCAATGCAATCTGTGTTTTACGACGCCGCCGAATAGGCGTTCATATAATTCCAGGGGAAAATTTGACTTGAAGACAAATACGAAAACATTTGTAGGCAGTACACACGGTAGTAAAATAAAATTATGTGTTTCACTTTAAATCTACACTTTGTTTTCTTTAAATTGATTTTCTATTGTTGTAACGAAAATTGTTATTTTTAAACGGAGCAAAGGCAAAAAAGGTTTCACTAGAGGGAGACTTTGTACACAAGTCGTTTGCTTAGGTAACTCTGTCCCTTTCGTGTTTCTACCGTAAGTAGTAGTGTTTGCAGGGCTGTGTTTTGGTTTGAAGGCAGGGATATTGCTGTAATTTTACAGGGAACAGAGGTATAACATTTTACTCCTCAGAAATGGCAACGCATGGGGGGTATCAAGGGCGAAACAGTTTACTCTATTATGACCATGGTACTGTTCCTTTATAAGCAACAGTTACCGCTTTCCATCAGGTGGGCTGTCAGCTTGTTTGCCATTATAATTTGCAGAAAATAAGGGTATTCAGTAATGAACATCTGAGTCATAGATAGACATGGAATGAATAAAAGATAAGAGTCTAAAAAATATGTGAAAATTTGCGTTTTTTTATCTCTGTCTCACATTGCCTTAAATATAATTGTAATGTTGCATTTTCCTGGGTTAAAAATAATTCAATAAAGAAATTGTTTTTATTAACAATAAAATAAATTGTATGTATACTTTCAGAATTCGACACGATCTTATGACATGGGGAGATCGTTTCACTGAAAAGGAAGCCGACTATGCTTTGGATGAAGCGCCTATAGTGCAAAAGAATGGCACACCAATGATCGACTACGTACGTTTTTGCAGTCAATTGTGCGGTCTTAGGAAGGCAAATAAAAGTAACGAATGATTCTGGAATATTTGCATAACATTTCTAATGTAGGCAATGGTTGCGCTTATTTTAAAAAAGTTTAATATTACAAATATTTGTTATAATTTATCTATTTGTTATATTTATATAAATATTATTAGTTATATTACATTTTCAGTTTTAAATAAAATTTATAAAAAATGTTTGTAACTGTTTTTATAATAATGTAATGGAATAATATTACATGTAATTAATATAATTTAAGATTTTGTTATTTTTTCAATAAATAAAATTATATTTCATGTTCTTTTTATGAATAATATAATTAAAAAATCCTTCACTTCCAACCGTTGTATGTATCTGTAATCTATAGTAGTGTTAGAATAATATTATTAATATTGTTTAAAACTACATTTTTAAAAACATCACAGGGATTTGGAAAAATTTACTTAAATTGAATAAAATTTATATGATTATAATTAATAAGTTTGAAAATACATTTTAAAAATATAACAACAGTTTGGAGAAATTGATTTTGATGTAATTTAAATTGTGTAAAGTGGAAACGCAACAATTTTGTAAAAGCAAAGTTGTGATGCTTGGAAATGAAGCGTTTTCAAATGGGCTCTTGCGAAATAGAGAAGTTTGAACAAGTAATAACCGACTGTCATGAATTCAACTTCGTCGGCTTTTTGGAGTTTTAAAAATGTACTCTATATCTTCATTATTTACTAGACGCCAAAATATATTATTCATCAGTAAATTATACATTTATTTAATATCTAATCTTTATGAGAGTTCGTTATGGTGGAAATGTACAAATCAACCATAAATATTGATATTAAAATTCAGATTTCAAATTGAAGAATTTCTATAAATTTTAAATTAATGTTTTTTTATGTACATTATTAATTTTTTTTTTTTTGCTTTTATGAAGTACTAAAATACAAAACTTCTGACATATAAATAAGGAAGTGACATTTTGTATAACTAAAGTTATCAAGTGGAGCATCATATATTGTCATTGTTGCTGTTCAAGTGACGGTTCTATTTTCCAGCAAGCGGATTATCTACATATTTGGCATTTTTATACCACTTAGAATGGCAAACAACCTCACGTGATGGAAAGTGGTAACTGTCACCTATAGATATGAACAGTACCATAAACATATAATTTCTAATTTATATAAAAAAGAAATTAAGAAAACTTGTTTCTATTTACATTATTCATTTCAAACGTCACGAAGCAAACCTAGTCAGTCTGAAAATCTATAAAAATGATACCAAAATATTATATTAGTGTTGTGTAGAAAATTTTCAAATTCTCGGAATAAATATTAACAAGCAACTCACTCAAGATGCTCCTTGTAAATGTCGAAGTCTGTGAACACGAGCTCGACGATTTGGTGCGGCGCCGCGACGAAGGTGTAGAGCAGGCAGTCGATCCGCGCCGGGTACGGCCGCGGGTAGTCGGGGCTGCTGAACGTACCACGCTCCTTGCCGTACGTGGACGTGAACCGAAGACATGTACAACCTGCGACAAACATATTATTGATCAATAGATATGTCGCAGTCAAATAGCTTAATTCACCTAAACAGCCTAGCCTTTTTACTAAATGGCGCTGTTTAACTAGCGGTCCGAAAAATATTCAGCCATTTATAAGCCAAATATTCAACATTTAACTACTTGCGTAGCCTAGTTATTTAAATTTAGTTCCACTTTTTACCACTTCGCACTTACACTCACACACTGTCAATATGACATCGGTAAGTAACAATATTATTGGTGTTTTTCAAAGCTTGATTGTCTTTACGCAAAAAAAAATAGTACAAAACTAGCGGTAGTAAATATAACTCTAATTACTTACATAAATGCTTTGTTATTAAACTACGCTATTTGATCTCATCATTACCAGATAACAATTGTATATATAATGTTGTATTTTAAAGCACTAAAAACAATTTTTAATGTCTGATATTTTATCTTTTTGTGTTACCTTATTCAAAGAATGGTTTGAGCATCAGTCAGGCAGTTCATTAAATGTAGTATTGTTGTTTACGGATGAATATGATTCAGGCCTCTAGTCGAACTGCGTGATTTAGTAAAAAGGCTAGTCTGCTAATTGAGTGGCTAATTAAGCTAATTGACTACGACAACTATATCATAAAAGAATATTCAATCAGTGTTACAAAACTTTCTGCAACTTCCTATTTTTTTTTATGATTCTTAGAATGATAAACAAATTTGAAACCCTAAAAATGAACATTTTCCTTCTTTAAAGAGCCAGCAATTGGTACTCTTTACCAATTACCAAAATCGGTTTAGAAGTTAAGTTTCTAAATAAAAAAAATAACTAGTTTTGTCACAATTGAACTCGTTTTTTTGTTGGATATAATCTTTAATTATCGAAAATTATTTAGTTTGTTTATTTCTAAATGGAAATTAAATAGTAAATACTAAATAATATCATATGATATAGATCTACATAATTTTTGAGATAGAAAGTACATAAACTATTTTTTTGCCAATCAACATATCTCAGTCATATAGTCAAAGTTGCAAGTTAAAACTATTATCAAATAGTCTAGTAATGATCAGACAAAATCAACACTTTATAACCGTTTCGGTCCTTAAGCAAAACAATCTGCGGGACTGTGTAAACCGCAAATGGTTCTACCTTGATTGGGGTTGGTAATTCATGGAAGGGTTGTAAATTATTCGTCCACATATCCCTACCAGAGGACACAGTTAATAACTAATAGTACACAAATCGTAATTTGTCAGTTCAAATATCAAATTCGGAGATGTATGTGAAGATCTCAGCGGAGTAACTATTGCTGGAAACTAATTTGACATCTATATGTTCAGATGTTTTAAAGTAAGTTCTTAATTTTTCTATATTTGCTACTAGCTTAGAATATATAGATAGTGTCTTCATACAAATGTTTCGCTAAAAACAAGTCGACAAACTTTTTTATTTACATTCGTATGAGTATATAGTTACCATAACGTACATTTATTACGAAGTATACAGGAGATATTATATTGTAAAATTTTAATGAAAAATAAAAACGACAAAGTTCTTACGTATATATTTTAAAGAACTAGATAAACAGTCCATTATTTTAGCCGTGAACTATCCACTGCTGGACATAAGCCTTCCCCGTATGGAGAGTTTTTCCAATAGTTGCCACGCTTGGCAAGCGGGTTGCAACCGCAGTTAAGGTTTAGAGATAAACAGTCCATAATGATCCATAATTATGTTTATCTTTATTGGATACTTCGATTTATATCTGAATAGATATAATTTTTTTGTTTTTAAATTAATGAAAATGGCTGCCATTTTAATTAAAACATGTATATTAATTTGTAAGCAATATCTTCTTTTGTATCAAAAAATCTACCTGATCTGGGATATTTTTAATCCAATTACTTACAACACTGTAAAAAGTGAGTTTGTTTTGATTAAAAAATATGTCAAGGTTTAGTCAGCCAAATATCAAATTGCCTAACTGAAAGTTAACCTGTTTTGGACACTCGATAGAAATGTATAGAGGGAACATATATATAATATGAAGCTACTAGCTTCAACCCTTGACTTCGACTTGACTGGTATAAAAGTAACCTATTTTCTTCTCTGTCTCATGTAGTAAGTGTTTAGTATATGAACTCCGACACTGCTAAATCGACTATAATGAAGTTTTGTAAATGGGTAATATTTGTTCCAAGATGAAAGGCAGGATATTATTATCCTGATAAAAAAAATTTACTCATTATATTATATAAAATGTCTATGAAATATCTTGTAGTTCAAAGAATATTTATTGCGTAGCAAAATATACTTGTTTTGCCAATAGGTAGATATCTAATGATTAATTTAGTCAAATTTCTTGAAACTGGGTTAATGTCTTCACTTTATCCTCTAAGGCATTAAGTATAAGTAGATTAAGTTAATTAGAACGGTATCTTAATTACAAGATTAATTGCGAATTTGTCATTAAATGTCTGACGAGTAGGTAATCTCAATAATTTAAAATTTTCTCTGCGAAAAATAATTATGACTAAATTAATACGGGAACAATATGGGAATAAACGTTATCGATTCCAAAAGTAATCACAAAATCGGTATCGTTATAAAAATGGGTGATAATTTCGCGTATATTACACGAAAAGCACAATTTTAAAACTTCCTACTTTTTGATGTCGCTACTACTCGAATGAAGGTGGCGTCCTCTGGTGTCAAGAAATTCTTGGATGCATTTTTTATAGTGGGTGAAAATGGAATTGTATCCCCGTCTACGTTATTGGTATACGTATATATATTTGAAAATTTTAATTATTTAAAAAGCGAATATTTTTGTATTAATAAACTGAAGTACCTGCTTATGTAATACTATAGTGAAGCAGCAGTATATTAACGAACTAATATAGTATCTATAGGAATGAAACTTAGTGTTAATGATTTTGGTATTGGATCTTTGTCTTTGTAGCAGACAGCTCGTCAATTTCAGTCAACTATTCCAATTTGCCAGTGTTCCTTGATTATAGAGGAGAGGAATTGATGTGAATTATTGAAGTTAGTAGGGCAACTGTTTGGTACTAATTGGCAAAGATCACTGAAGTGATAAATATGCAAGAGTATTTCAAAGAGCACGTTCTTAATTCGATGGTAGTCTTCTAGTATGAGTATTTTTTTTTTACATGATGTCTTCGACAATTACGAAGCTATATTGATTTTTTTCAATCACTAAGGTCTACTCTACTATACGTTTGTAACTAATTACTTCAAATTAATATTATTCTTTTTTGTATTTTATGTAAACGAACTTGGTTACCAAAAAAAAAACATTTCTTTCTTTCTGTCATAATCGCAATAGCTGTTTTTTATATGTATAAAAATTCTAATTATTAAATGCTTACACTTTAAATTGCTAATCCCTACCCTATGTAATAGCTGAAATGATCAATAATCCAAAAAATATATTAGAAAGAGATTATACAAAAAATCTTTTACATACCTCTATTACACTTATATTTGATGCTAATCAACTTACTTATCAAAGACGCTAGGCAGTGCACGTCTTGAAAACAAAACACAGCTATCATATTATTTTACATACAATAACGTGAAAATGTGTTACGAAGTCTAATGGAATATGACGATTTAATATACACAAAGAAAACAAGAGAATAATATTTTCATTGAGGATTTTGTTAAATACAAATCTTTAAATGTAATTTTCATTTAAAGAAACCTTTCGAAAACAATTTTTAGCAGGGCACAGGGCATCTAAATGGTGAGGGGGCAAATCTGGCTAATAGTTACGAGTAATCCGGCCCTAATAGTCTCTTACCTTAAACGCCTATCATTGAACCGAACTTATGCTTGTATACTATCTTTATTTATTTATCTCGATGTCAAAATCAAATATATTGTAATCACTTCAAGCAATGACACTTCAATGCCAGTAGAAATCAGACGACCTTATTGAACGTTAAAGTCATTTAGAGGACTAATTGTAAATAATTAATTTAACATCTAAATAAGGCTTGAACTATAATTGCATAATAGAATTTCTTATATCTATTTTAAAGTTTTGACAATACTAAATTACATTCTAAGAACCAAATAATGTAACTGAAGTTCTGTATTTCGTAATATTTTTGTTATTTCATTAGATGTCAAATTACATCACTTGTGTTGTAACGAATTATATTTTTTTTTGTTACCCAGAAAAAAGCCAGGGTCAGTCAGCATTTCATCTATTGAGGTTAATTAGAGACCGTTTATATAAAAAAAATTGTCCGAGAGATGGTGACAGGTGAGTCTTCCCTTTGGGGGGTTTTGCCAATAGTTGCATTGCTTGGCAGGCGGATTGACAACCGCAGTCAGGCATTAGAAATATTTTAAATTAAATTTTTATAGGGATACTACTACACATCCCTCGCCCTTCTTTAGTTGGCTCTTACGACACTCACGGGAATGGAAAGGGGTGGCCTATTCCATACCAGGACCACACGTCCATAAAATCTAATACGTTCAGTATAAAAAATATGGACATATCGAGTATACTCTACTATATGTATATTTAATTTATTTACTTATTTTTTAATAGAAATAAGTCGCTAAAGGGAATAAATATCATCTGCATAATAAACAAGATTATCTCAGATTTATTTACTGACAGCAGTTCTATAATTAGAAGCCGTGATTGCTCATACTGCCCGATAAGGCATTGGCCGAAACGGTGGGGTACCCGGAAATTGGAACTGTTCCGGGCCGGACCGTCCGGGGAAACTTGCCAGATAACGGGCCAACTTAACCGATCTAACTAGAAATTAATATTACATTTACTATATACTCGTATATTTAGATGCATTTGGAATGTATATTATAATGTTTCAAAGTGTTGGATTTAGGTTAAGTTCTAATGTACAAAATGAGTTCTTGCTAATTTACAGAAGTCTATTTCGTTTATGAATTTGTCCCGAAAAAACAGACTTTAGTCCCACAATATTGGAACAAGACGAAT